GAGTCCATAGGCTTCAGGTTTGCTATTTATCTGCGTGCTGCTCCCTGGTCCCGTAGGCCCATAGGCTTCAGGTTCGCGCTTTTCCTTCATGCCGGGTCCTGAAACCCGATAGGCTTCAGGTTCGCGATTTCCCTCCCTGCTGCTCCCAAGTCCCGAGGGACCACAAGCTTCGGGTGCACGACTTAACCTCCTACTGCTTCCAGGTCCAGCGCGCCATAGGCTTCAGGCTCGAGATTTCTCTCCCTGCTGCTCCCCGGTGCGGAGAGCCGGGCTTCAGGTTTGCGATTTCCCTGCACTCTGCCCTCAAAGGTCCCATAGGCCCATAGGCTTCAAGTTCGCGATTTCATTCCCTGCTGCTCCCAAATCCCGAAGGCCCATAGGCTTCAGGTTCGCGATTTCGCTCCCTGCTGCTCCCAGGTTACGAGGACCCGTCAGAAGCTTCTGGCTTGCGATTTCTCTCCCTGTTGCTCCAGGCCCCGGTAGATACATTTGCTCAAATGGCAATCCTTCCGCGAAATCTCGCTTAGTGACTTTGGCCTCCCAGCGTATCTGCAGGTTTTGGGATTCCCCCCCCCTCCAGGCTACTCTAGGACAACCGCGTAAGCTTAAGGGACCAAGTAAACCGACTCGAAACCTAAACTTAGCCCCGCGGTGAGGTGACTCCCCTTTTACGTTTCACCCTGACCTAACCCGAACCGGGCTCTGCCCAGCGCTTGAACGCTCGAGAACTCAAACTTTCCATGCGTCGCTGCAAACACAAGGAGCCTCCAAATAGGGACTCCCCAAAGTCTATGTGAGGACGCCCGGACTCACACAGCGCCGTGCAATCAATGGCAGGGGGGGATGAAAACCTGCATCCTACTCCTGGCCGGCATTGCTCGGATGGCAGCATTGTGTAGCCACACCGGCCCCTCCCTCGCCAGGGGGGGGGGTTGGTGCCCCTTCTGGCACTCTGTGTGCATTGTGCATTCGCGCATTCGTACCTTTTCTTCAGTGTGCTTGCAACTATCTTGTCAACCCAATGGCCCAAAGGTGTACTGAGTGCTACGCTTTGCTACGGCCCTGGCGCTGGTGTGGGGACTGTCTCCATGGACGCGTTGAGCAGTTCAGGTGACGGAGGTTCCTTGCCTTACGGCCTACCCATACCTTCGCTTAATGTCTGTACCAGACGTGGCGCAGCATTGCTATGGGTGTCGGGCTTCTGAGTGAACGGTGCCGGTAGTTTCTTGGTTTCCTTGGTCTCACCTTGCTGGCCGTGTGTTAAGTTGTCTGCAAGAAGGGCCTCTGCGTTAGCGGTGGCTTCTTTGTAGTCACAACTTCTTTTACACCCGCTGGCTTGTACAGCTTGGCTCTCAAAGTAGCTGTCAGACCCACAAGAACGGCCTACTGTGCTGCTGATGTAGTAAAGAGGCGCCCGCTTTTAAAAAAAACCTCTGTCAGCGGGCTGGAAGTCAATGCTCAGCGGAGCAAGAGTGCAGGGGTGCGCGGTAAACTGCAGGAAGGATATCGGAGAGTACGGGTTCTAACCGCATGCAGCTGGAAGGAAACAAAGCACGCGGTGCAGAGGTTCCGACCAGCGGTGTCGAGCGACACCGTACCTGTAGCAGACATCAGGAATATTCAGTGGAGCGAAGATCAGACTGCGCGGCAGAAAGATCTTAGAACGCGGTGCCTTGTCGAGATCTCGGCTGAGATGAGTGCGGGTCAACACAGCAGACGAGCCATGGCTCAGGAGGCAGTGCTAATGCAGTACCGAAGACAACCAAGAGATACAAAGTCAGGCTTCAAAATCGGACTGGCAGTAAGCACTTAACGGAGCCAGAGCTGCCCGGCGGGCGGAAGGTTAAGTGCATACTTGCCGTTACCTGCAAACAAGTGCTGCTCTTGGCCATCGGACGTGACAGAGCTGACATTGGAAAGCATATCTTTCTTCTAGGAAATGACAGCGCTCCTAACAGTGACCCCACAAGAGAAAGAGGGATCCTTCATGTTCCGCTCGAAGATAGCCTCTATTCCCAACATAACGTGAAAGAGCTCCCAAAAATTCTCAAGACATGGAGCTTTCACAAGATTCAGAGAGAAAGCTCTTTTGTATCTCAAGAAAGAGAAAACCTTGACTCCAAAACGGTCCCAACTCTCGGCTCTGAACGCCCTTAGCCTGAATCAATTGTCTGCCAGGCAGCTGGATCCTACGTGAGAATTTCGCGATGGAAGAGCCGCTGCACTGCTTCTTTTGGCCGGGCGCGACCTCTGGAGCGGCAGCCTTTCAGGGTTTAGGGTTGACCCTAAAGAAACCCTAAACCCAAAAGTCTGCCGCTCCAGAGGTCGCGCCCGCCTTCTTTTGTGACGGCCCGGAATGAGACGGTGGAGCTCTGTAAAGCTCCTCCATGCCATTGTTTAGAGTCAGTGTCCTGAACCAATACGCAAATTTTAAACCTATTTTTGGAGTCTGTGGCACCAGATCTACGGTCTGGAATTGTCTGACATGACTTGTGCATGTTTCGATGGTGATTTGAATCTCAAAGTAGGTATGGTGTGCTTGTACATAGTTTTTGGGATGTGATGAAAGTCGTTCGTTTGTTGTTGAACATTGTCCGTTTATGACCCGAACTAAGGTGACGTGTCTTCCACCAGGCAAGTGCAGACAACTTGGTTGAGCAGGTCTGCTGAGTGTTTGTTAAGGCAAAAAAGTTGGAAGCCTGCTGTGAGTGTTGAAAACGTGCTCATTCTTTGGCTGGCTCAAATGTCTTTGTGGTAAGTGCTTGCTTACTGTGCAGGTTGTGGGGCTTGGTAGTTCTCCCTGTTTCCTTGTTCTTAAGTGCGTAGGGTTTCTTGGGCTGCTTCGCGTTTCAACGGCATCTGTCATGTGTGTTAGAGCTTGTTTCTGTTTTAGGACATTTTGAGAGTGAGAAAGCGATCAAATTGTCCAATTTGTTCTTGTTTTTTTCTCGACGTCTCCGTTGTTTTTGGATGTTTCAAGGTCTGTTCCACACCAACTGTCGCAATTCTCTGCAACATCTGCAAAGAAAATGTTTTCTTTGGCTCTTCGTGTGGCAAATCCTGAAGAGATTGGTGTTGAGAGGTTTTTGGACTTAAAGTGGTGCTGAGACACCCTTTGGCTCAAAGTTTTTGGGTTTTCTGTCAAAGTGGTCTTGAGATACCATTTTGGTTCAAATTTGGTTCTGCCCAAGTGGCCTTTGGCCGCAGAAACACTTTTTTTGTATTGGGACACCCTTTGGTTCAATATTTGAGGTTTCTGTCAAAGCGAGTCTTTTGGTTCAAATGTTTGGTTTTCTGCCAAAGTGGTTGAGGACTCAACAGTGACACCTGTTGGTGGTTGAGACACCTTTGGTTCAAAGTTTTGGGTTTCTGTCAGAATGGTCTTGAAGACACTGGTTTAAATTTTGGAGGTCAACTTGTTCTCTAACAGTGTTGGAGATGCCGTTTTGCTGGTTTGCAAGAATCTTACTGCGGGCTTGTCTGCTGCCATTGAGGTCAGAAATTTTGGAAGCAAAAAGGTGTCCACACCCTGCAGCTCAAGTAAAATGGGCGAATTAAAAATCATTCCGCCTCAAGTCTGAAAACGTGTGTCTGTGTAGAGAAGCCTGGTGACCTCCACAGCAAGTCTTGGTGAGTCGAAGCTGCCATGAGAGGTTTGAAACTGTTGTTTTTGGGGGCTCCTTTTTGGAGCTCCAACAAGTGTTTGAATTGGCGTCGCTTGAAACGGCCTCCACAGTCTTGAAACTCAGATCCCTGAACCTTCAACTTAGAAAAGAAGCATTAAGCCAAAGGTTTCATGGCCCGTGAAAGGCCACCCCTTAACCGATCACCTGGCTTTTGTTGGTGAACTTTTCCCATGTCGCAAGTCACCAAGATGGTAAAGAAACACCAACAGGCTTGACTTGCGGAACATCTTGTCCAGCAGTCAGAGCCTTGAGCTCTTCCTTCAACAGGGTCTCCTCCCCTGGCAAAGCAGCCATTGCTGTAGCTCGCTGGCCTTGTCGTTGACATGGAACTCGCGCCGACAAACAACCCCTGAAAGCCCATCCACTCTGCATCCGCACCCTGAAGGTCTGTTTGCAAGTGTTTACAACACGGCGTACATCCTGCACTTACAGGGGCAATGGTTGGTAAACACAGGCGCTCGGAGCTACTAGCTGGGGCACTGCGATATTCCTAGGGCCCTACTTGTATAGCCGCAAGAGTCCATGTACAAGTTGCCTTTTGCAACTCGTGAATGGGGGCTCGTGATCAAGGGATCATTTTAAGTGCAGGCGTGTCATCGATCATGGCATTCGACGCCTTCACTCAACTGTACGTGAAGCCGCACTGTTCCTTCTGGAAGGTTAAACTGCAAGTCGTGCAGGGCAAATCACGATACCGGGAGATTTGTGCATGAATATAGGCTCAGTAGTCGTGATGAACATGTTAGTTGAGGCATGATCTACATTCATGTGAAATCGTGAATGCAGAGGATGAAGAAAGGAGTTCACATTTCACTACCATGATCACCACGAAACCAGGAATGATTAAACACTATGCCTCTTTAGTTTTTCCAGCCAGGGTTCCTAGGGCTTTGCTAGCCAGCAAAGCCTATTCAAAGCTTGGTGATGACATGCGCAGAGAAAGTCCCACATGCCCACTTTTGACTACAGCACAGTCAAAATCTGATGCCAGCCCAACCACGGTGGTAAACCCCTAACATGCCGTGCAGCATGCCAACATGGCTCTGTGATGTTGAACATCTTGTGCCCTGAGAGAGATGCGGACAACCGCGGAACAAATCGGCTCAAGCCACTTGCAAATTCATGCCCTGACTTCGAAGAGGTCCCTGCCTTGAATAGCTGTTGGCGAATTTCAAGAACCGCGTCTCCGAATACTGCGACAAGTGATTGGGTTTAGGGTTGTGTCGAAAGGTTTTCGAGTTCCGGTACCTGGCAGATTTCGGAGACGCTCCACCGGTCGGCGCTTGTGGACCCTTCACGGCACATTGCGGCACCATGGAGGAGGCAAGCAGGCTGCTTTCCACCATTGAGCTGGATGAGTACACCATCAAGGACGCCTGTGGGAGGGTTGGAAGACTTCTTGAAGTGTTGAAATTCAGTAACGTTTCGGGTTCACTGTTGCCGCGCTTGTTTTGAATTGAAGATCCACAGCGACCTGCTTTTTGTTCACGTTTTTTTTCTCTCGCTCTCGCTCTCGCTCTCGCTCTCGCTCTCGCTCTCGCTCTCGCTCTCGCTCTCGCTCTCGCTCTCTCTCTCTCTCTCTCTCTCTCTGGCTTTATCTCTCGCTCGCTTTGCTGTCGCGCAGGAAGTCCAGAATGGTTGGGAGACGACCGAGAAACGGTTGGGAGGGCCGAAGGCAGCGGGCGAGGAGGTGTTCGGCAAGTTGAAGAACTCGTGCAAACAATAATACTCTTTTCTTTCAGGCTTATTATTGCGCATTTCATGAAGTCATGTTGTGTGAAGCATTCTATTTTTTCCATCTCTCTCTCTCTCTCAATTTTGCAGAGACGCGGCCATGATTTTTGTTTCAGCTTGTTCTTCTTCTCCAGGAACGAGCTTCCAAAGACCCAGGGCATGCTGACGCGGTCCAGCACCGTCTGGCACCTCTTGTCCGAGCTGCTGCAGTGCCTGGCCGAGCCCAAGCTGGTCCAGAAGCGCCTGGAGTACATCGCCCTGCGCCACATGAACGCAGACATCACCACGGCCGACGTGGAGATCTTCAAGAGCGTGCTCTTCGATGTCTGCGCATCGAAGCTGGGGGGCCTGATGACTCCTGAGTTCCAGTTTGGCCTCGGTCAGATCGTGGTGGCCGTGGGTACCTCGCTGGCCAAGACCCACGAGCACTACGCCAAGCGCTTGAAGCTGCTGACATCCTGCTGGAAGGAGGTGAATGTGAATGAGGACGAGGAGGACAAGCAAGAGCACCACGGAAGCTCGGAGGAGGACAAGGACAAGGAAGAGGAGGAGGGAAAGGAGAAGGAGGACGAGAAGCACAAAGACAAGGACAAGGGCCAGGCAAACGCAAAGGCCGACGCTTCGAAAGATGCTTCGAAGGATCCGGAGAAGGGAGACCAAGAGCAAGAGGGCGACGAGCGGCACGGGGCATGGCAGGACAACTCCAACCTCAACATCCCGAAGACCTTCTCCGCCATGGCCCGGTTCAACGCCGCCGTCATGGGCACCGGAGACCGCAGCTCTGTCATAGTTGCGGGTAAATAATGCTGGCTCAATTCTTAAGGGTACTTATAAGCCCAAGAAGGAGTCAAGATCTAGATTCTTAATACCATCCCAACCATGAACATAGGCATGTGGTTTGCCGACATGCTCTATGCCATGGAGTCCCTGGTGCCCTACATCGGCAACATCGACCGGGTTCAGGAGGACTGTGACGTACTGACCTTGACCTTGGCGAAGTACGAGCAGGTGAACCTCAAGGAGTTCCGCTCCGTGATGTTTGCTAGCCTCAGGTCCCTCCTCCCCACGAAATGGAGCAATGATCATGAGAATGCTTGGGCCTGGTTCTGGGGCGTTGTGGAAAAGAAGGTCGAAGAGAACAAGAAGCTCCCTGTCTACAACCATCAGTGCCTGAGAACCTTCATGTCTCGTCTGGATGAAGACACCCTGGAAGACTTCAAACTGAAGGTCTTCGACTCCTTCTTCGCAAACTGTGAGGAGTCGCAGCTCTACCTGCGGGCGGCGAACAAGCGCCTGATGTACATCATGGGAAGGATCCTGACCATCATGTCCGACATCTACACGAAGACCCATCATGCCGTCATCGCCCTCTCGGCTCTGGGCCTTCTTCATGCTGGTCACGGGGTTCCCGAGGATCTGGTGCGTCCCTTTGTCCAGGCCTTCATGGGCGGCATCAAGGAGAATTGCCCGGATGAGGCCTTGCACGACGGGCTCTGGTGGACTTTGGACTTGATCGGCAGGATCTTCATCCGCACCCTCTCCGAAGGCTCCACGCCCGTGATCATCGCCATCAACCGAAACACCTCCAAGGCGATGAAGACGGCCGTCGCGGACTATCCGCGTGGGGAGCGCGAGGTGATCCTTCTCAAGGTCCAGGTGGGTACCGAGTCCATGTCTCCTCTGATCTGGGCTGTGGAGAAGGGTGCCCTGGAGTCTGCGAAGGAGATCCTCACAGACTTGCTCACGATGCGTGCGGACCGTGCGCGGTACTACTATGGCATGGAGCTGCTCTTCACCCGGCACCCTGACATCATCAGCCTGCTCTGCACCAAGGCGCCCTCGCTCCTCCCGACCGTCTTCGACGGACTCATCTGGCGCTCCAAGAACGTGAAGAACGGCCTGCGCCGCGCCAACTACTACATCGCATCCCTGCTCCGAGGCGAGGATGGCCTCTTGACGGATAGCTTGCTGGATTTGATCAAGCAAGGCGACCCTGAGATCATCTGCCATCCCACGGTGGTCTTCCAGGCGGATCTGCTGTGGACTCGGCTTTGTTGCACGCCCTGGGCCATGACGAAGCTGTGGTTCTGCGTGACCCTCGTGGCATACGTCTTTGCAGAGCAGCAGGCCGTGGCTGCCAGTGATCCTCTGAGCAACGAGCGCTACACGACCATCTTATGCAGGGCATTCATGTACATCGGCAGTTTGGGTCAGCTCTTCGCCAAGCATGGCTTCCAGACCTTCCGAGCCGTTCGCCAGAAGCAAATGACACGCTTCTGCTGCTTGCCCGTGCCGAAGTACATCCTGCAGACGCGCCAGGAGCTGATCGAAGTTCTTCTTCTCTTCCTTCTGATGTGCATGCTGCTTGCTTGACCATGCTTTGGCTGTCCTCAAGCTTGAGTCTCTGGGGTTCTGTCACTGCCTGTAGGCGCCTCAGAAGGTCGAAGGGATAGCACCTCAGTACGCTAGAGTACGACACATGGCGCACAGCATAGTGTACGACATACTGTAGAGCCCAGAGTACGACAGAGGACTAGTGACAATGATGCAGACAGTGAACCTCTGAGGTTGTGCTGCGAACCGGTGCTCCACTGCCTCGCGGTCAGCAGTGAGCTTCTCACCAATTGTTGTGAGTATGGGGAATGGCAGTGTGGTCTCATTCATGCCTACAACCGCCTTGCTGCCTTCCCCATGTTCCTCTACTTTGTGCTGGTCTCCGAATTGGTGCATCTGAATGTGCATCTCTCCGTCTTCAGCGTGATTTGCTCCACTTTGATGTGGGAGTTCATCCTTTACGTCGCAGTCCTGGCATTCCTCACGGCAGCATTCGCTTCCGCCATTGCTTGCTTGCCTCCAGCTATGGCAGCGGCAGACGAGTCGATTCAGCAGCGGGACTTCTTCAGCTGGCCCCTGGCTTTTGAGTCCCTGCTGTCTGCGGCATTCAATGTCTATGGCAGCAACAACTATGAAGAGATTGCAGTGGCGTCCGAGCCGCTGCTGAAGTGGTTTGTCATTGCCTTCGCCGCATGCTGGCATGTGTACCTCATGAATCTGATGGTGGCCAGTCCACGAATCATCCGTTTTTCTTCGTCTGTTTGTTGTGTTCGGTTGAGCCTGTCTTCTGTTTGGGGTCCAGAACTTCTCTAGGTGGCGCAGCTGTGCCAGCGCTACAACGAGATCTATCACGACGCACGGGGCAACGCCCGATTGACCCGTGGGATCAACATCTACGAAACCTCCATGCCACTCATCTCCAAGAAGCGCTGGACGGCCTTTGTGGAGTCCTTACACTTAGAGGAGGCCTGCGAGCTCGACGAGGGCGACAACGGCCCGCGCGGGGCGGTGCCCACGACCGAGGACCCCTACGAGTACCTCCAGTATCCCAAGGTGACGCTGGATCGGGTCCAGCGCTACGGCGGCCTTGCGAACCCCGTGCTGCCCTGGCCGTCCCTTGACGAGGCGCCCTGCTGAGGTTGTTAAGTTGTTATATGTTGTTATAAGCTTCAAGCCAGCTTTGTATCAGAGTTGTTTTCTTCCGCTCTCCGCTCTGCTATGCTCTGCTCTGCTGTGCTCTGCTGTGCTCTGCTGTGCGGTCTGAAGACACCGATCGCCTGAGGCGGTGGACGACAGCGCCGTCGGCAAGCTGACGCGAACCATGAAGGCCAAGTTCGAGGACTGGGTGCTGTCCCGCTCTCTGCAAGCCTTGCGGCTCTCTCTTCAAATCCCCCACAAAAACGCGACTCACCCCCCTCGTTCCCTCGTTAGGAGATGGACAGGCTCATGGTGGACATGGCCATCAAGTTGCAAGTTCGCCCCCCAGGGACCTCAGGCGGCACCAACCAGTTCTCCGCGATGCACTCCGAGAAGCGTGACCAGACGAGAGCTTCTAGCAATGTTTGTTAGGCCCTGTTAGAGGCACCTTTGGTTTTCCAAATCTGTTGTAGGTCTGTTTTGCCCATATTTTTTTGGGCTTGCAAGGGTTGCATATGACCTCAGATTCGATGCCCCCCCCCCCCCCCCCCCCTCGACTCTGAAGGCGATGAAAGCAAGATTGCGGATTCCGTTGACGACCACGACGCGGCCACCGTGAAGGACACCGAAGTGTCGGAGGAGTTGGCCATGAACGAGAAGACTGCGCAGCTCGCAGTTTTTTTGTTTCATGAAACCATAGCCTTTGCTGAGATGCTGACCCTGAGCCCCCCTTTTGGGCCCCTTGTTCGGGTCATCTCCCATTCGACTCATTAGACCCCTAGAGCCTCAGAGACCCCCGAGGCATGAGCTTCCAAACGAGGGCACGGAGGAAGCCGAGACGCTGACAGCGACCCCCTACGGCATCAACCCCAGCGAGAATCGAAGCCCTTCGATCGTGCAGAATTAAACCCTTGAGACCTTTTAATATCCTGAGCCGGTTTCCCTGCACTGCCACTTCCTGGCCAAGATCCGCAAGACTACCTGAGATTCTGCCTGAGATTGGGCTTGTAAGGCATCCTGGGCTCTGACCAATCGAGGTTAGGAAATGCAGTGCAGAAAAACGGCAACCACCAGTTTGGCGTTCAGAAGTCTTTCAAGCAGCACTCGAAGGCAGCGACCCCTCTGCAACCGCTCTGCCCCCCCCCCACGTTTCGGGGCACTCGGTTGCATCCGCTTGTGCTAGAAAGTATCAAGCGATTCGTGCGTGGGCTGCCTTACATTTCAACGCCACATGTTTGAAGGCGAACTGGCGAAGACCGCCTGCTTCCAAAATATTTATGAAGGTTCTCAGACTACAGAGTCTGCGACAGGGAAGTAACCGGGTTGCAGCAGCCCGCGGACGGCTCGAGCCTCCGGACATCGCTGCTGCGAAGAAAAGCCACTTTTGAGGCCTCCTTGTGGTCCTTGTGCCTGTGCTCTGCATTCAGACTCTTGTTGTGCAGACGCCGGTTTCGTGCTTGGGAAGCAGCTGTTCACCCCGACGTGTTCAGTCTGGCTCAAGCAGTGCGACGGGCGCAGGATGCAAGCCTCCTGTGGGTTTGTGCCGAAGGTTGTTAGCTCGATTCCAGCTCCAAGTGAGTGCCACTCAGAAGACTTTGCAGTTGATTGGCGTATCCGAAAAAATGCAGTACGCGAAGCTTCGTGAAACACTCAAGCGCAAGCTCTGTTGTGCCCAACAGACCCATACATGAAGAACCCATGCCCCTCAATCTTCAGCATGTCATGAAACGAATTGTAAGCTGTGGTTTTCGTCACCAGCTGAGATGGCAGAAGCATGATCCATCTCAGGGCCTCAGCTTCCTTTCGACATGCACTGGCAGCATGATGCGGGGCCTGCAGTGTCCACCGATGAAGAAATCGAAGCTCGAGACCATTTACTGCTTACAAGGGGAGCATAGGAAAGACGCTTGATCATATCCTTGATGAAGTCCTTTCAAAACAGGCAGCCGGACCAGAGGCTTGAATGGGAAGGTTGTCACCAGGAGCTGTGCGTGAGGAAGCACGCGAGTCCAAGATGGCATTCAAGATGCAATCCAGAGGCAGACGTTCAGGATGAAGGCTAATCCAAGAAAATTCAACAGACTTGGACATGAAATGCTGCTTGGTAGCACGTCGAAGGTTCCGGTCCATCCAAGAGCCGAGCATGACGGACTTTCAAAGGCCCCTCTTGGAAGCGAGCTCGCGAAATCTGAGACACTCCTGTATCACCCCACCATAAGGGCCATGCAAGTATCCCAAACTGTGTCGGCATGAATACGCGGACAGCCTAAACCTACTCGTCGGGGACCTTTGCTCCAGAGTCAGCATATTGTTTGTGGCGAGCGAAACGTTGCTCCCCCCAAAAAATGGCGGCCGGTCTAAGTCCTTTCACCAGCAGGTCTCAAGATGAGAAGCTGTGCGTACATGCATTACATTGTGTATGCCGATGCGGGTAAGAGCTATGCAAAGAAAGGCTCCTTCTCATTTTTGTCCAGTGGTGTTTTTTGGCTCAGAGGCTTTGGCTGCAGTGACATGCGCGAAGATCGTGAAGCTTCATGACTCATGCTGAAAGATGCGCTGCCGAAACAAGCCACAAGGTAGTGTAGCTTCAGAACTGCACAGGCCTTCGAATGCAACGTGTACACATGAAGAGGTCCCCTTAGTAACCTTAGAGTAGCAAGAATGGGAAGCACGTGAACTGGATCTCGCGGTGCCTTGCATGGCCTCCGTCACCATTGCAGACCGTGGGCCTCCCTTACGCTACGAGGGATGGAGGCTGGGCAGGTGGAGAGAGAGAGAGAGAGAGAGAGAGAGAGAGAGCCATTTTGGCTCAAGCCATTTTGGCTCAAGCCGCGAGTGCTCAAGAGGCAGCCCGTGTCCGAGCCTCAAACAAACGGTGTAGCTCATACAAAGAAAGGGGGGGCGTAGGGGCCAATCCGACCTCTACTACCACTCCTGGTCTACGCGACTTCCTCACGAAGGTTGTGTCCCAGCCCTACGGTGGCCACGGTCCACGAGGGCGACCGCTGCTGTCCGGCCCGTCGGGGAGGTTGAGACCTGCTACCTGAACGAGAAGGGGGCGCACCAGTTCTACATCGTCGAGCGACGCGCCGACATCACCTATGGCGACGTCAGGGACCATGCCGGCATCCGCAGTGGGGAGCCCCGCCACGGGGCACAAGAGAAAGGGGCTGACAGTCGACCTCGAGGGCGCGTTGACGGGGACCCGGGGGGCACTGCCGCTGCAACTCGGGGATGTCCAACAGGCCCTGAGGACAGAGGTGCAAAGCTTCCTGGGGGAGATCAAGACCGCCATGAACCAGATGGAGGGCCGCATCGCAGACAAGCTCAACGACAAGCTGGAGGGAGTGCACGAGCAGCTGGGGGAGCTTAAGGAATCCTATGCGGAAGTGAGAGACGGCCTCCGGGGGACCAACCTGCAGCTGAGTAGCCTTGAAGACCGCATTGCCACACTGGAGAAGCAGGGAGGCAGCTCCACCACCGGAGGTCCCAGCAGCGGCCGGACGGCGCCGCGCCATTGTGATTGGTGGCTTCCACCGCGACACCCCCAAGGACGAGCTCATCGAGGGGATCAACAAGCTCGTGCGCCAGCTGGAGCTGGACCTCAACACAGCCAACATGTTCGCGACGGGGATCAGAAGAGGTTCGGCGATAGTGCCTTTGGAGCCCAAGCCGGACGAGGGGGACAGGGAGATGACTGCCCGCTACGCCGGGGTCCTTCGCAAGATCCGAGACGCCAATGTGAACCTGGGACAGCGCGATGATGGGGGTGTACGTCGACTTTGGGGAGCCTTCTCGCAGACCCTGCAGCAACGCCAGCGGAGCGCCTTTGCGGGAAAGGTGAAGCGCTTGGTCCTTTCCCAATCACCAGGGACAGGGGTTGAGTGCGAGTGGTCGTCGGGAACCGTTTGGGCATCAGGCCGGCGGATCGCTTCCGCAACCACGACCCCTCCCTTCATGGGGACCGTCCACAACACGAAGGCTGGCTGGATCGACCTCCAAGCACTGGCAAGGATCCTGGGGAAGGATGAGAAAGACCTGGGCGCGGCCTGGGAGCCCCTGGAGGGGCAACTTCGCTGAAAGATCAACAGTTTCACCTCCGGACCTGGAATGTGGGGGGCCTCTCGCTAGACGCTCAAGGCGACTACCTGGAGGAGTTCCTCGCAGCCATGGACGAGAGCCTACTGGAATTCGCAATGTTGCAAGAAGTACCACAGCTTGGGGGGCCCCGGCCCCCCCCACTTTCAAAGCGAACCAGAAGAAGAAGAAGAAGAAGAAGAAGAAGAAGAAGAAGAAGAAGAAGAAGAAGAAGAAGAAGAAGAAGAAGAAGAAGAAGATGGAGACCCTCAACTACACGACCAGGAAACCAGTGAAGAACGAGAGAGGAGCGAGGCAGAAAGCAGTGGGTCGAGCCGACCAACGGACCGATGGGAAGCCACACCCTCGCCAACGAGAACAGCGGGGACGAGAAGCTGGTCAATTTGGGGGCCACCGCCACAGAGCCGACAACCGCTACAGCCAGTGCCAGAACAAGAACGAGAAGATGGAGAAGAAGACGAGGAACAGGAAGCACAGGCCAGTACAGAACAACCGAGTGCAGCGAGAAGGGGACCCAACTACATCGACCACGAGCAGCACCACGACGTGCCCCCCGACAACACGAAAGAGGACACCGTCGAGGAGGAGCACGACCAGCACTACGACGAGCCCACCAACCCGACCGACGAGCCCGAGGAGGACCTGAAGAGCAGCCGAAGAGAAACGAGCGAATGGGGGAGCGCCCAGCAGAAGCCGGAGACCTCGACGAACCCCAACGACAGGGAGGAGGAGGAAGAAGCAAAATCAGCACGGGAAAGTACAGAGCAACCGAGTGCAACGAGAAGGGGACCAAACTACAGTGAGCACGAACAGCACCACGACGAGCTCGCCGACAACACGGAAGCCGACGTCGAGGAGGAGCACGACCAGCACCACGACGAGCTCGCCGACAACCAGACCGACGAGGACCAGAAGAACAACTGCCCAAGCGAAACGAGAGAACAGGGGAGCGCCCAGCACAAACCGGAGACCTCGACGAACCTCGACGACAGGGAGGAGGACAACGCGGACCAGGAGGAGCCACAGCGACGAGGACAGAAGAGAAAGCGACAAGCTGACCAAGCACGAGGAAATCCACAGACAGCGCCGGGAAGAGAGGAGGCAAATATGGCGGGGACAAGGGGACCGTCAGCCGCGGCAGAAAGAGGAGAGAGCGCTACGCCAACCACACAACTACGAGAAAGAGACCACGATGGCCAGCGAGAAGATGATCGACCAGGGGACCCAGACACTGAGGGACATGAAGTAGACCCGAAACCGTCAGAGAAATGAGCTGATGGAGTATGTTTGGGGGCACGGTAAAGATGACCACCCCACACACCCCCTAAGCTTCAAACGAAAGCCTGGGGGCCTTGGACCAGAACCGCTGGGCCGTCGTGGCCGGGGGACCTCCTCTGGGGAGACCCTCTTGAGCGTGGAGAAGAAGAAGAAGAAGAGAGAGAGAGAGAGAGTGTGTGTGTAATTATGTTTTGATGTTGTGATGTTTCGCTTCTTTGCCTTTTTCCTGGGTTTCAAACCTGGTGGTTCGAAGACCCGAACCGTTGGCCATAAGATGCCCAAGAAGCTGGCAGCTAAAGATGAGACATGACCTCCGGATCTCACCCGGGAGCCCCTTGACCTGCACAGCACGGCGACAGTGGCTGCCTCGTTTGCGGCTGCGGCCGACCGCTGGGCGACAGCAACGGCTCTGGCAGGCTAGTGGGACGTAAGAACCCACACAAGAAAAGCAACGACCCCAAGAGTCGATGTGCCGATCTCCGCACACAAGTAGCAAGATCGACTCGCCTCAACTGATTTTGTTTTTTGCGAAGGTGGCGACAGCTTTGAAGGCCTTGGCGAAGTCGAGGGCAACTCCGCCCCCAAGGCCTCCGGCTGCCTGTCTCCTTGAGAGATGGCCGAGTTATCGGCTTGGATTTCAGCCCCCCCCCCCCTGAAAGGAGAAACGGAAATCTTGGACATGTATAGATGTTGTTAGGGGAAGCTACAAGAGAACGGGTCCTTGCACTCAGCACCTACCTACAGGTCCTTTCCTATGCATCGCTGCGAGCGCTGGTGGCTAGCACTGCCGTGCGTCTCCATGCAGCTTCGGAAGGCTTCGTTGTACGATTTGTATGTAGTTGTGTCAGCGGCAGTGATATTCTGTGTGTGCAAGGTCAAGCTCACTTCGTTCTGCAATGTTCTGCAGTGACTGTTGCTAAGAATGTCTGGAGGACTGGAGCGGGATCGGAAGGAAGTCATGGAGACTGGACGCAGTATGATTCAGGGCAGAGCATTTTATCAGCCAATGCTGTGAATTGCTAGCTAATTTTGCTTCTGCTTACATGCGGTCTCCGGCCCGAATTGCATGCGATGGTGTGTGGCGAGGAGGATCATTGCTTCTTCCGTCCGTTGAGCTATGTTGATTCGACGGTTCTTTCACGAGCTGCTCTCCCGTGATCGCCCTCCTAAACCACACCCAGGTCGCCCTTTTCGTGGATGAGGCAGCGCCGCTGGTGGTTGCGATGCTGGCAGCTCCTTGGCAGCTCTTCTATGTGGGGCCTTTTGGATTCGGAAACTGACGGAAGCTTCCCCCCCCCCCCCACCCCATACGTAGGGTCCCATGCCCACTCTAAATTGGCGCTGAAGGCGGCATAGACATGCTGTGAAGTTAGGAGTTAAACAAACTAGGAGGAAGGACATAGGAAGGACACATTCAGGTAGTGAATGAAAAGGTACGTAGGAGGATGATACTGGGTACTCCCTGGTACCCCCTTCCCCCCCCCTCCCCTCAGGCCTTCTAAGCCCTACACCTCAGCTAACCCTGAACCCTAAACCCTAAACCCTGAACCCTAAACCCTAAACCCTAAACCCTAAACCCTGAACCCTAAACACTTACAAACCGTAAAACTTTTTCAGCCGAATTGCTCTGAGATCCTCTGGGCTGGGCTCTGCTTCGTGCCGGTGGATCTCGCCGCGTGGCCTTACGACCGCTGCCGCTACGTGGGGCCCCCAAGGAACATAGGTCTTAGTCATTATTGGGGGTTCAGCAGACGCTTCCGCAAGCATGCGAGAGATGTTACATGTCGTGGCTCCGTGGTCTGGTTTGCAGTGCTAATGTCGTCCCGTTCTTGCGCGTGCTGTGTGGGAGACGCTCCGCCGGCAAAATCGGAGAAAGTGCTGGAACTACGCAGCGCAGCTGTCGTGAAAATCATGTCAGCAATGAAGATATCACAGTCCAGGAAGGGGAGGCTCGTGCTCGGAAAATTTTTGTCAGATGGAAATCATAGCACCACATATTGTTGTGGCTGTTCGCATTGTCCGTTCCAAGCTTCAGCAGACTCATTGAGACTTCATCTGCAAGCGCACGTGTCCCGTGTAGCCGACACTGAGATGCACTCCGCACGGCTACTCTTTTCGGCTTGGGTAGGTTGACCGCGCTTGAGCGCTCAACCGACTGCGATCAGTTTCCCGGTGAGAACCGGGAGGATAGTGCAGAGTGTCCCGCTCAACGGAGACCGACCTCCCTCCCCTGCCCGCATACACGCTCTCGCATTGGCCCGTCCAAGGGCTCTGCGTGCAAGCCTGGGAGGGTCCATTTTCACTCATACTTATTATTTTGTGTTTATTATGTGTTACACCGTTCCTCGTTTCTGGCGAAATGTGGGAAGCACCCCGTTTTCTCGCAGCTCTTCACCATGCATGTGAGAGCGAGTGTGCACGTGGACCCAAGGAGGCCGAAGTCCATGAGGGGGTAACGATACGCGGGACCTTCAAGCGAACCTCAGCCGGGCACGATGCGGTAAGACATGCTTGTGAGGTTCTCGACGTGTCTGGAGCTGCTCTAGCGCTGGCTTCCGAGGCATCCCAGCCCAACGCCTGTGAAACTTTTAGAACAAGATCCGGTCACCTTTGCAAAGCACATCCAAAGCTGTAGTGTGCCGCCTCGCAGATGGTGTTCTCTCCAGCTTTCCCGCATGATTCCCTTTAGTCCCCCTCCCCCCCCATGACTCCTATGACTCCTATGATTCCCTTATATTCCCTTTTAGTCCCCCTTTCCCTACGCCTTGGCCTCTCTGCCGAAGGCGCGTCGCGAGGCCGCTGCCGGACTCCTGGGAGCGGACGGAGGCCTTTTGCCTGTGCAGCGGCTTGCTTGGCAGAAGCAACTGTCCAAGGAACTTGTTGCCTTTGGGCATGGCTGCGAACTAGGTTGTGACCATGGCCTGGGGACAGCCATCAGCCTCTAAGCAGACCACAGAGGATACCCCAAAAACTACAACTCACAACTTCCGCGGCCGGAGGCTGCGCCCTCGTGATGCTGGAGGATGCCCTGGCAGCGTCTAGCCGCTGGGCCAGCTGGCATCGTACTGCCTCCCACCAAAACAGAAGAAACCCACGCCTTTACTTTGACATTCTCGTGTCTTCACAGAGGTCAGGCCGTGTCGCCTCTGCTGTCGGCACCTGCGGATGTCGCACCGGAGGAGCGCCGCTGCATGCTACCCTCGGAAATTGAGGATGATTGGGGGCAACCTCCCAGTTGCAAGGTCCTTAGCGCGTCGATTGTTTGTTTCTCTTGCGAGCGCCCGGTTGTCGTAGGGCAGTGGTTGCGGAAGCACCATAGGCCGCCACGACATTTTTGACTCGAGGGGAAGAATGGAGGCTTACACGAGCGATGGGAGCTCGGAATGTCGGTCCAATTGCGTTGCCTTTTTTGGGGGCTCGCTGGAATCTCGTGGGAGCCGAAGCCTCGAACACGCCCGTGTCAACAGCTTCTTTCGGGGTCTTTTCTGCGCTAAAGAGTTTCCTGTGGAAGTGGGAAACACAATGGCGCGTGATTTTGTCACGCGCGCCCAATGATTCTTGCAGTTGTCCAATCTTTGCCCGGCCTTTTGCAATGGGACATGAACGCCTGATCCAGTCCAAGCTTCTTCCCGGAACTCATCATGGTTTTGGTAAAGTCAGCGGCGGTTCATTCAGTGCACGTGCTCTACAAGCTGTCACGTGTGCCATTCCTGGCTAGAAGTCGTGCTGACTGTTGATCGGCTCTGTTGCCTTTGGATTAGGAGAGTCATTACTAAATACATCTGCGGAAGATCACAGACATGAACTGGAGGACTTGGCTTATGCTATTTTCACCTCCGGCTCCACAGGTGGGGGCTTTGCCAGATTGCTTTGTACTTGTGTTGCCCAAGACGTTACACCTCGTCGAGATGGCTTAGAAGTTCCGGGGTCATGTTTTATCGAAAGGGGTCGACGGAGCACGAGGTCCCCGAAGTTCATGCGGTTCCTACGCAATTCGCTTTGCACAATGTTGCGCTCTGCTGTAACCGGGGCTTCCTGTCGGTGCTCTCGCCGTAGTGCCGCGCGAATCTCTGCGCAGGCGTCGCCCTCGCTGTTCCTTTTCGCGAACGAATCTCGGCGCCCTGGCGGCTCGAATTTTGACGCACCAGCAGCGAAACCCAGATGTCGTTTTCATTGGCCCGCAGCGGGTCGCAAGCTCTGTGGAGCCCCAGGCTGTCAAATTCTCCGCTTGCAAGAAGCCTCTGCTCTCTGGTTGTGCTAATCCATTCTTCCAGAATGCCGCACGCTGCTTGGGTTGGGGTCGCAAGTATTCACGTTTGAAGCCCCCCGGGCCCCGCCCCCGACACTCAGCGAGCCCCCTCTGTGTCTGCCTCCAATAAACGACCCCTTTCTCTGCCCCGCTTCCTGGATTGACCTGGCAGGGCGGCCCAAGTGTGTTCTTTGTGAGCAAGCCTGGCGGCATTTGGGGGTTCTTCCGAGTTCGAGGTCCCCTTGTGGTGTCCGTTTATGCTGGATCCTACGATAGTTGGAGTGCTTAAAACGCTACCTACTGTACTGGTAGTCTTTTGCGTTTTTGTTGACCACGCGCCTCTTTTAGAGGCTGTTGCAGCTGCCGATTCTTGAGACAAGGGGCTTTTGGATGGAAGCGGAGCGCCCATTAACTATTGAGACGGCTGGCCAGCATCCCTAGCGCTTCGAGTTGTGCTTGACGTCTTGTATATCCCGTGTGTTTGTCTGTTTCTGTGTGTTTTTGTTGTACTGTACAGCTCTTTCTCTCTTCGTCAAGATTCTGCAGGGCCCTCTCCGTGTGGCTGTCCCGCGGCTTTTCGAGGCACCGGGCGGCCGTAGCCTACGCCTGGGCCAAGGCCCAGGAGGAATCTCTCGGGCCAGGCACGGAAGCGAGCGCAAAAGGAAGGGGGCCCTCTTAAGTTGACTCAGCCGATGATGATTGCTGGTTGCGACTTTTGTTCGTCACGCTGCTAAGAAGGTGCTGCTTTTTTTTTTGCTTTCCGTGTTCCATGCTGGGCTTCATGGTCAATCGCAGGCAGCCGGCAGCTTCTGGGATCACACTTCACCTTCGATCCTGCACAAGGCCGGCGGCACCCCCCAACCAACGAGAAGGGCGATGGCCCAATTTCGCTGGGCCTCTCAGAGAATTCAGGGGCTTCTTGGCTTCAAGGCCCAAGGCTCAGGTCCGGTGAAATCCGGCTCGGTGCCTTGCACGTTCGCTGACTTCGGTGTCTCAGTGGCTTGCGTTAGGAGGTTTTGAAGGAATCTCCAGCAATTCCAAGGTCCCTAGTGCCATAGGGGGTCCCAGGAATTCGGGTTGTGTAGGCAACCCCCCCCCCCTTTTTGTGCTCAGACTAAGAACCATCGCAGAAGTGCCATGATGCGAATCAAAGGAACCAAAGGATGCGTCGAGACGAGGTACGCTGATGTTGTAAACTGCTCTCTCTGCTCTATTCGTCCCTTTCCGTTCTGCTCCCATCTGCTCCCTGCTCTCTGACCGGGCAAAGGCGATGTTTTTGGAGCCTTGACACTGGGAGCCACTCTCGTCACGCTGCCCCGCTCGTGCCGTGGCTTCAAGTTGGCTGTCCCATCTGTTTACACCTACGTAAGATTGCTAGCGCTTGGACCGTGGCACAGCTGAGGACTGTCCTGGGTGCATTGCACGATGCTCTGGGCACCTGGGACGAATTCTGGGCATTCTCCTGTTGGGCACTCTCCCCCACTCCCCTCTCCTCCCTGCTACGCCTTTCATTCTGAGGCTTGGATGTCACCCATGCCACAATGACTCCAACACAGTGGTCACTGAAGGCACCCGGGGCCCCCTGCATTTTCCTACAAAAGGAGAAGGGATGAAGCGGTTTGAAGCCAAACACTTGGGGAGCCTGCTATAAATTACCCGGAGCAAACCATGGGGAAGATACGATGTTAGACACCAAAGGACCCGTGATGTCGGTCTAAGTGACGGCCCTTGGGGGTTCTCGATTACACCTAGTTTCTCCTCATGTTGTACGGCACCAAAACTGACCCAGAAGCCTAAAGGCCCAAAGCCCTGGCCCGCCCCCCCCCCCCCCCCCCGAAACTATTAGGCGGGGCCTTGTGGGTCTGCTTCTCACTTGCTTATTTCATGCACTGGTTAGCACATCAGAGCCCATCTAGCGTTCTTTTCCCGATGCTTCGTCTAGGCCCCCGAACCCTAACCCTAGACCCACCTTAGTCCCTGAAACCCTTACACCCTTAAGGTACCCTTAAACCCTTAGACCCTGTAAACCTTAAACCCTCAAACCCTTAAACCCTTAAACGGTTAACCCCTTGAGCCCTTAAGCCCTTAAGCCCTTAAACCCTTAAACCCTTCACCCTAAAACCCGAAGCCATGCAGGCCCCTGGGCCACTACCAGAGCTGCAGAACCTGCTGCCTGGAAGATATTTGGGAGCCAGCTGTGGGGAATGTTCCAGGGTTTAGGGTTTAGGGTTTAGGGTTTACAGATAAGTGGAGGGGTTTCAGGGGTTCTCAGGGTTTGGGGTTTGGTACGGGCTGGATTGCCACAGGGACTTTTCAGAAAGACTCGGCCGGGTACGTCGACCAGCATCAAAAATGGCCCGAGTTGCCCCTAACCTCCCCTGGGTTTTTAGGGTTTTTCAGGGAGTTCTAGGGTTTTTAGGGTTTTTCAGGGAGTTCCAGGGGTGTTTAGAGGGGTTTTTGGGGGGAGATCTTTTTGTTCTCATTGCCGCGAAGCTCAGGACTTTGTGTGGGGAGACCATGCGAGTGGAGCCTTGAGCTGCATGGGGGGAAGAAGGGCCTCCCTTTAAGATCCCTCTGCGACACATCTGCCAAGCCATCTTCTTAAGGAGAACCTAGGAGCCCATGAAATTGGATTTACTGGCCCTCCCCGAGTCCTGCTTTCACAGTCCGTGGGGGGGGGGGGGGGGGGAGTGCAGCTTTTGTTTGTTGGGGCTTGCGCGGGACATTTCAAAGAGTGACGCGTCCGAGAGATCCCCCGGTGACCTCGGATGAGCCTCTACAAAAGCGAAGGACACCATTGAGACCTGGTCGCCAGCGCTGGCCTTGCGCAATATGTATGGCGCAGCTGGGACTAGAGAGTTGAGAGCTTTTGAGGTTGTGAGAGCTATGGCCACAAGGAGCAAAGAAGTAGCGAACGAGCATGAGGCCCACTTGTTCGCATGTAGCACAAACCTTTGCCAGCAGTGGTAAAAAAAGTCTCATCATTCAGGTCACGGAGGCCACTGGCTTGCAGACGTCGCACCGCGTGGTCACTGGCGACTCTCCGTGACCCGGCTTTCGGAAAAGGCAGAAAGGAGAGTATTACACGCACAGAGGAAGCAAGAGGACCACACGAGAGACGACACAAAAAAGAGCAGCACACCAAGGCACCGAGGCCTCTCGCGAGCGTTCTCTTTTTCCTTTGCTGGCTCTCTCTTTTTCTCTCTTTCTCTCTCTATGTTTTTCTTTCTCTCTCTCTCTCTCTATTTCTCTCTCTTTCGCTCTCTATGTTTCTCTCTCTCTCTCTCTCTATTTCTCTCTCTTTCTCTTTCGCTCCCTCCCAGTAGGACTCGGAGTGACTGACCATTCTAAGAGGGCCTCTGCAAATGGATATGAAGTTCAGGTTGTCTGAAGACTCGGGGAATGCCCAAGAAGGACTTCTAGCCGGTTTGGTATCAGCAGCTTTGCCTTGCTTGTGAACAGGGATCAGGATGGTCCCCAGGTTGTTTTGGAGTTTGGTTTGGTGAAAACTATGAACAAAACGAGAGCAGAGACACTCAAGAATGAATGTGCCCAATAGCTAGTCGGGCTCGGACTCAGCAAGGAATGTCCTTGCCGAGGAAACTGGTTGGCTATGCCCTGCCTGGCTACGTCGTCGCTCTCTCTGAGGACCCTGCTTGCACCCATCTTGCACCGAGTTTGCCAGACTGCATGACCCAACATGTTTGAGTCACGAAGTTGTTTTGCCTGGGGAGAGAAGTGAAAGCTTCAAGTGCAGCCAAGGGACAGCCGGGCCTGGGGCCCAAGAGATTCCTTTCAAACTCTGACTCGAAAGCTTTGGGCCTCTCCAATTTTTAGAAACTCCAAGTGCAACACAGCGTTTGACAAGCAGAGAGTTTGCCCTAGCTGAGAGCCCAGCACCTTCGGCGCACGCTGATTGTTGCAACGGTCAATGGAGAGAAGCCTCCGGGCCGCATCACGTCACGTCAGGAGGGCGAGATCTTGCTGGCCGGCCGCGGCTTAGCTAGAGGTTACCTTGGCCGCGAGGAGGCCCACATGGAACTTCCCTCTCGCTCATTACATGTGTGCCAATTCTCGAGCCTCAGCCCCTGAGGAGACGCGGCGGAGGTTCGTGGACTTTCGACACGCCCTGGATGACACCACCTTGGAGGTTTCCTTCGTGTAGCTGGAAGGGAGTGAATCTACTGAAGCTTAAGGCGCTGAAGATGCACCTCGCAGCCCCAAGGGTTTTTGCTTTCGGAGGGATCGCCCAAGCTACACAGTGCCGAGAGCCTGTCAAATCGTACCGTTGCACGATCTCACAGGGGCATGCGCCCACGTGCGGCTTTTGACGCACTTTGCTCAAAAGAGAGTTCCCGGGTCTCCCCGGGCTTCGCTTCGCTTTTGGCTCTGCGCTTTTTCTTCGCTTCTCTCACTTGGTAGAGGCCAGGGCCTACTGCACCGGCGACCTCGGCCTAATGGGCCCGCAGGGGCTCGTGCTCAAGGGCCGCCGGGACCACCAGGCCGATATTGAGCTGCCTCACGTGAGCTCCCCATGTGCTGCCGTTGCAAAGTTCGGTCCTTGCCGTGACGGTGCACGCGCTGAGCACACATCTGGAAGGTAAAGATCTCTGGCGTTCGCATCGAGCTTTCCGAGGCGCTCTTCTTGCCTAATTGCCCCCAGGGACGGCCTCCTGGGCAGTGGAGGTGTCATTTGCTTGGGCTTTTTTGGTACATGAACAACCCATCACACCTTGAGACCCTAACCGCTCGTCCGATGAACGCAGCCGTATACTACTATGGCGTGCGTCCCTTGAAGTATCACAATGGGTGCTCTTCATGGACTGACCCCTGACAAGGAGCCCAACATAGAAACCGTACCATCATGAGTCTTTCAATGGAAGTTTCTCTCTCTCACACTTCGCGACCCTTGGATTCATCACCACTTCATTTAGTACCTTCAGGAGGGAACTGATGACAGGTCTTTGGCCTTTGGGGCCTTCGCAATGTTGAAACCACATCGGTGTGAAAGATTTGGGTCTTAAGCTGAAACAGCGACCTGAATAGCGCCTGCGCTGCCTTCGATACTGCCACTACGCCAGACCTTGGCACACGGCGTTCATGTTTCCTCTTCCAAAATCCTGTCTCAAAGAGGGGCGTGAAGGAAGCTCCCCCAAGAACACCTGTTATGAGTGGTCCTAAAGGTGATAAGAATGCCAAAGTTCTTTTCTTTCTCAAATCAGTCTGGTCTGGGAATCTTCAAACCAGTGAACTCAGCTGTATCGTCTTGGAAAGTTAGCACTTACTTAATGCGGGTACGAATCTGTGGTTAGGATGAAGGCTGTCTGGCTCCACTCGTCACGAGTAATCTCACGACTGGAGGTGGAGCTTGCTGTCCTGGCTGCCGGCATCGCATCTGCTTGCACCGTGGTTGTCGCCCAGGGCGTGTTGGTGGCACATGTTGTCCCCTCCTCGGATCAGGGAAGAAGCCGGAAGCAGCATGCTTTGTAGACCTTTGTAGGTGAAAATGGGTGCGTTGTTGGGTGCTGAGGCGCTGGGTGACCACACCTTTGACTGGATCCTCCGCGCGACTTTGGAGGTGTCCATCAGTCACCAATTGTGCCTGCAAAGCCACAGTTCTTGAAAAGCCACTTCTTGAGAAATGTATCTTTTCTCGGGGATTTTCCCGCTAACCTGGAACGATGCACCGTGTGACAGCTTAGAATTGTGCGGCGCCGACACTCCCCACATGCTCATTTTCACCTGTGATGCCGACGTCGATTCACTCCCTGGCATTCTTCGCCCCCTCGCCTCTCTCCATGCTCCCCTCCCTGTCCTTCTCTCTCTTTCTCTCTCGCTCTCGCTCTCGCTCTCGCTGTCACTCTCGCTCTCGCTCTCGCTCTCGCTCTCGCTCTCTCTCTCTGTCTCTGTCTCTGTCTCTGTCTCTGTCTATGTCTCTGTCTCTGTCTCTGTCTCTGTCTCTCTCTGTCTCTGTCTCTGTCTCTGTCTCTGTCTCTGTCTCTGTCTCTGGTCTCTGTCTCTGTCTCTGTCTCTGTCTCTGTCTCTCTCTCTCTCTTTCGCTCTCGCTCTCTCTCGCTCTCGCTCTCTCTCGCTCTCGCTCTCTCTCGGTCACGGGTCTCGCTACTTCGGAGGGTGCAAATTTTCAGCCTGTGCTGCAGCATCTGCATCCTCCTGGCCCCTGGCGTGAAGGCCTGCGCAGCTGCGCGCCTGCCCAAGGAGGCTTGGCCCCGCCCGCCGTCCAAACACGGAGTCTGCCCTGCCTCTGCGTGTCGCGGTGTGTGAGGTGGTGCCACACCACTTCCAGCCGCACGTTGCCCTGCCGCTGGCCGCTGGAGGAAAAGTGGACCGGCAGGCCCCTATGAAAGGTTCCCACATGATTCCTTATGATGATTCCCAGAGAATATGCAATGCATGTATGCTCTCATGGCAAGATTCCAAAATTAGGCGAGGGGGGAGGGTACAAGTAGGTTTTACCCCACCTTCGGTCTGGGGTTGTTTTTTGCTTAGCCATTCTGCAGACTCTCCCTGAGGAATCCAATCCCGCTTGAGGCAGTTCAATGCCGGGGTATTTGCAGGTTGGAACCCGACACCAATCACACATCCATCACTCAGCCATCGAGTCTTCCTTTGCTTCTCAGGCCCTGGAGGCGCTGGGCCTTCCCCGGGGCCCCGAGGCGGCGCCCGGCGGCCCGGCCACCACGGCGCTGGAGGCGCGCGATTCCCCATGTGACCCCCAACTGCTTCCGGCTTAGAATAGTCCCACCTCCATTTTGTTTTGGGGGGAGGGGGGGGGGTGCGGGCGCAGCGGGGCAGGGGGGGAGCTCTTGCGCCACTTTGCTTGAAAGGCCGCCGTGGCCGTGGCCTGGGCTTCGGCACTGCGCCGGCCCACGGAGGAGCTGGGCGCCTCGGCGTTGGGCCTTGAGGAGTTGAAAGGAACGCATCAAGTCCATCAAAAGGTCCGTGTAAGTTTCGAGTAGCTGTTGCCTTTGCAGGGTTCTATCTGGAAACAAGGTGTGGTCGAGCCAGTTCTTCGATGCCATGTCGTGACATCCGACTCAGAGTAATTAAGAGCCTGAAAAGCGCACGACATGGGAATCGCCCTGCCCATGCCCGCAAGGATGACACGGGTGTGTCGGGTGTAGGACAAGGTCGAACATCTGCAGCATTTGTTCGAGCGCGAGCTCGCCAGGCCGCGGCTCCAACTTCCTGTGGCTTGGTGGCGACAGCCTCGCCGCGCTGCGTGCCTGCAGGGCCCTGCGCGAGGCAGGGGTGTGGTGGGGCGGGACGATGTCTGTGCCTTGGGAACGCGTTTATTCGGGGCATTCTGGGGCTATCGGGCCTATCGGAGTTGCTGCCCGACCATCAGGAAGTGCGTTCCGCAGCCTTGGTGGAGCCGCAGGATCTGGACGTCCAGCAGGACAGCGCCAAGCGATCAGACTTGCCTGTTTTAGAATTCTGACGTATTCTACCCTTAGCTCTCTACGTAGCAAGACCTGGCCATGGCCTTGTGTTTGACCCTTTCCCTGCAACAACATGTCAGATGTGCAGAAGCTCCCGCACTCCATGATGCCTCCACGCCTCCCTTTCCAAGAGTCGAAGGTGTCTATGTAAGGTCTAAGTGGGGGAGGAAGGAGAGTTCCAAGTTGCGAGGAGCAGCGAGGCGAGGCCGGGCTGCTTGTGGAGGCCGAGGCGCCGCCAGGCGCCTTCGCCACTGGTGCTGTTCCCTTCCGCACGGCGTCCGCACGCGCCAGCGCCCAATGTGAGGAGCTCTTTGTGTGCTCAGCGCCGCCCTGGGCCCGCTGGCACCTTGCGAGCTGATGGCAAGGCACATCTCGAAAAGCCTTGTGCAGGATCTTCAGAAGCGCCGCAAACGATCGATTCGGGCTTGGATTGCACTCCGTGATCATGATTTCTTCCAATGATGGGTACTTGGCCAAGTGATCCGGCTGGTGTGGTTGGGATCCCTCTCAGATTCACAAATGTCGCAGCTTTGCAACTCCAGCTTTCGTAGAGCCCCAGAGAGGGCGTAGGGGCATCTAGGCCGGGCTGACCTCGCGACTTCCTCAAAGCAAGAGGCCGACACTCCAGCAGTATGCGGCCTTTCTGGAGGAAGAGGGCATCGAGGCGAAAGGTGGGGAGCGAGAATAGGAAACACAGAAGTGCGATCATTCCGTGTCATGGCATGGCTCGGGTAACAGCTGTTGATGACACCCGGCGAGGCGCAGAAGGGCCTGTGGCCGGCTATCCTGCTGTCAAGACGGCGGCGGGGCCTAGCGCAGGCAGTGATGCGAGACGTTGAAGCACAGTTTCGTGTTTGAGAGGGGCCTGTCCCAATAGGACTTGCCCGTTCTTGTTGCCATCCGAAAAAATCCTCTCTGGAGTGGAACCGAAGCCAGATTCTCGACATTCATCAGAGTGTGCAGATGTAGTGATGTAGTGCAGGTCTGCCCACTGATGGGGAGGAACCCCTTGCCAAAATGGCAGGTGTGGACGACAGAGGCGAGGCTTGTGCGAGGGTCTGTTCCCAGATGGCGCTAACTTCTTTGGGGGCGACGAGCCAGTCCCTCCATGCTTCCCTGGGCTCCTTGTGCTCTTGTGTCCATGGCTTCCAAGAGTCAACTACATGCTGCAATATGTCGGTAGGTGCTGGCGGCTCGGCGGAACTGGCGCTGGCTGCTGCAGCACGCGCCCGGACAAAAAAAAGGACCAAGCTGGAACTACTGCTCTCGGTCCGAAAGAACTCTGAGAAATCCTTTCCAAGGTGAGGGTCGAGAGGAGTTGGTGAAGGCGCTCCTCCAGGCGAGGGCGGCCTGTGCGAAGAAAGTCCCACGTTCAGCAGCCAGCGCATGGATTTGATCCCGCGCACGTCACCACACTTCGCGTGATTTGTGTCCGCCTTTTTTTGCCAAGGGTTTTTTTGCAATTGCCTTCGCAGGTCGGGACCTCTCCCAACGGCAGCGCGCGGGGGATGCCTCCCAGGCCTTTTTTGTGTCAGGAAGCGAGCGAAGCGCAGGTTTTGGAGCGTCACGTGATCTTTTTTTTGGAATCTCGGGCTGCCCAGGAGTTCTGACAGTACTTTCCGTGCAGTGCAAGTTCCCAAGCTCAACACAAGTACAAGCGGCATCAGTGCCATGCCTCGCTACAGGGGTTACACGCCTCTGCATGCCGCCTGCGCGGCGGGGCAAGAAGGCTGGTGAACCGATTCGTGTTTTCAGGTGTGGGCAGCGATCCCCAATGAGCTTCCCCATCAAGCTCGGCATCTTGACATGCGCCCATTTGCTCAGCCCATGTCTGCTCTCTGAGTCTCAGGCGTCGTGGCCATGCTCCTGGATGCCCGGGCCAATGTCAGATCCATGACAGAGGCCAGGAAAGTCTGCACCCTGACTTGGGCCCAGAACAACGCTACCCCCCATGCAAGTTAGTTAAGCTCCCATCCAGAACAAACCCTCCTCTTCACTACAACTCCACATATGGGAGCAATTCATGGAGTTGAGGCTGCTTGCTTGCAACTGCCCAAGCTGACGCCAGGCGAGGACGAGCCCCGCACAACTGGCGGCAGCCCAGGGCGCAGCTCGGCACGGTCCAAAAAGCCCTTAAGGGCGTCGACAAGGGGCGAGCTTCCTGCAGAAGTCTGAAGTCGGGAACGCACAGTCAGGCGCGACTTGCATTGAGCAATTTCCCTAGCTTTTTCCCCGACGTCACATTATCTGGGAAACCCGTGAATCCCCCCCCCCCCCCCCCCATTTTCCCTTTCTTCTTCTGAGGATGCGGCCACCCTGGCTCGACTTCTGGCCGTCGAGGGCGCTGAGGCCTACCTCTGCATCCTCCACAACTCAATCATACGGCTCTGTATAGTAGAGCGTACATTGTAATCCGCATGTTTTTTTATAGTATAGTATCAAGTTCGTATACCAAGGTGCATTCTTGTACAGTGCACAGAGCCCAGTCACTGCTTGTTATATCACATTCAATGGTGTGCTCAACCCCCCCCCCCCCCCTCCCGATGCGTTCCCGTTAAAGACCACCCACAAAAGGAAGCCGCGGGGAGGGGGGGGGGGGTCGCCTTCTTGCCGCGCATCCTGCAGGGGGTGGCCACCTGGGCGCGCGACGTGGACCAGCCTCCTGGCCCAAACCTCTTGCGCCGAGTTGGCCAGGTGATCCCATGGTTCCGTTCATTAGCATACTATTACTATTGTTTTTCATATCATACTGGAACGGATGAAAGTGTATGAGGTGGGAGACGCTTGTTGACCTTGAGCTGGGAAGATTTTCGGAATCGAACATGACTTGACAGGACGCGAGTGGTAGCCGAGTGTCGCAAGCCCGGCCCTGGCAACTTGTGAGAGCTGACAGTCCTCTAAGGCAGACTATCCTCCACCTGGCGGCGAGGCACGAATTAGCCCATGACCATGTTTGGAGGGAGGGGGATGGGGGGGGGGGCTAGCGCTCATGCCGAGACATATCATTTGCCTTGCCGATTGCCGGCCAAAGCTGCAGACATTCGCTGAGACACCTATGTTGCAACGCCCCTTGACATTTTACCATTCCAATGTCTGGAGGTCCGGAGAGGTGAAAGCTGTGGAGACTGTGCTGGTCAAAGTGAAGGCATGTCCCAAGGGTTTCGAGAGGTTTCGAGATGGTGGGTGCCGCAGCAGCGGTCAATGTACATGTGTTCTTTCCTTGCGATGGTCAAAGGGGGTACGGGCGTTTTACAAGTGGCATTTCAACCCCCAGTCCCCGATGCTCAGAAAAACCCCAACGTCCGTAAGCCCCTTCAATCCCTTAAAAACATCATCAGGGACCCTAACACCCATCTTGAGACCCCAAATTTTGCACCCCTTAGAAATGAGTCGCCGGGTCCCAGACGCCAGGGCCTCCGCGCCAAAGACGGCGGCTTGGAAGCCAAGGATCGTTGGAGCAGGCGCGACGACTTTGGGGGGGGGGGGGGTCCGAATGGGTCCGATTTTCTTGGTGTGCTTGAGTTTCAGGATTTGGGGTTGTGAAATATGAAGCCTCATGTAGCATAAACGGTACATGTTTCCATGTTTTTTTAGCTGCTGGAGGGGTGGGGCGGTGGACCTGAAAGCTTTTTCAGGACGGCCCTCGAATGGGCGGTGGCCAACGGCCATGAGGAGGCAGCAGACGCACGGCTCAGAGCAAGCTTGAGTGGATCACCGCCCTGGTCAGTAAGAAGTACGGGGGGGTTTCCGACATTAGGGGTACCTTCTTGGGGTCTGGACTATACGGGAATGCTATTGTGGTGGGGTCTACTATAGGGGGTCCCCTTACTTTCGTAAACTCCGATATGGTGTCAAGTTGCTCCTGCTGCTAGGCGTTTCTTTCTTTGGGGAGTTCCCCACCACTTCTCACTCTCTCTCTTTCTCCCCGACTCTCTCTCTCTCTCTCTCTCGCAAGGTCTAAAAACCTTTAGACTCACAACGCTCCGAGGCGTTAAAATGCACCCCTTCTCCCTTTCTCCCTTTCTCCCTTTCTCTCTTTCTCCCTTTCTCCCTTTCTCCCTTTCTCCCTTTCTCCCTTTCTCCCTTTCTCCCTTTCTCCCTTTCTCCCTTTCTCCCTGTCTCTGACATACCAAGGTGTGCCTCATACGGAATGGCGCCTTCTCAGGCGGCATCCCGGATGCCCTTCTGGAGAACTACCAGGCTTTCCAGCGTGAGCAAGGGACACGTAGCCGCGTAGCCAGAATCGCAAGAACCGCATGGAGCCGCATGTAGAGCCCTGCCGAAGTCTCTTTCACGCCAAGCTCCTTCGCCTCTCGTGAGCGTTAGGCTTCAGCATGTGGAATGTTGGGGGCCTCCTGTCAGGAACCCACGTCACAGGTCACAGCATTCCTTCGTTTTTCTTTGTTGCAAGAGGGCAGCTTCTTTCAGGTGGACCTCTCGGCGCCGTCCAAGCCTGGACAGCCCAAAGCGGCGCGGAAGGAGGGCCTTCGGATGCACTGGGCAGTGCTGGGGCACTGTGCGGTCGAAGCGTAAAGTGTGCAGAACAGGATCCTTGCGACAGAACATGAATACACGCAACTTGTTTAGCCCCGACAGAGCTCTGTTGCACAAAACTCCCTCGTGGCGCAGGAGGTCCAGCCTGATGCCAAGATCGCCTCACTCGTTTCCTCGCTGCCCTCCAGCGCGGAGTGTTGCGAGGTGCTCTGTTCTGGTCAGCTTTGCGAGGGTCTTGTGCTGAACAACACAACGACCTGCAGTTTGCGGCCCGAAGTCAGACATGTAAAGGTGAGTGTAGTACCTGTCTGTTCGACATGACAGTTATCAGAGACCTCTTCCTGAGCTTGAAAAACTCCACATTCTGAGTCATGAATACCCCTGAGCTGCGGGACTAGATTGAATGACTAGAGTGCTAGATTCCCCAGAGTCTTTTTTGTCCTGAGGAGAAGCAGCTCTTTGCCCTGACAGCTCTGCGAGTGCTTCGGCTCACGATGGAAGCAGATGCCAAAGGCATTCAAAGGGTGAAGCTACTTTGCTTTTCTGGCCGACTCCCCCGATAGGTACAGCATGCTAGCCAAGAGAGCCAGCAACCTTCACTGTTGCTTGTAAACAACAACATCTTCTTTCACAGCCTCATGAGGCCCAGATTTCCGGCCCGTGCAGAATTTTTTCTGGTCACATTTGGGAAAGCCTCCACAAAGGCTGCAGCCGACTGCAGACTTGCCTCAAGATGCGCCACAGGGTGGACCCCAGAGTATCTAGGGCCATGTACCCACACTGAGCTTTGAGGGCATTCCAACATCCGCCGGGACCGAGTCAAGTGAAGCCCCCAAAACCCCCCTAAAGCCATCCTAAAGCCATCCTAAGCCCCACGACCATCCCCCAAACCCGAAAGTGCACCCGAAACCCTCGCAAGGACTTCTGCTGCGGCGCCAAAGAACACCGCGACGCGGCGCGGCGCAGCGGGGCCGTGGGCAGGCTCGGGGGGTCGTCGACGAGTCGACAATTTCCCGGAGTATGGAGATGTGGGAGTTTCCGAGAATTGGGGGTCCCAGTATGTCGCATGAGTGTATCGAGGGGAGCCCTCTCTTGGGACTCTGGTGGGGAGCTGAGCTTATAAGTTCGAAGATTGAATGGACTGGATTCCTTGCTTTTGTAACTTTCCAAGGGCCCTAAACCCTAAACCCTAAACCCTAAACCCTAAACCCTAAACCCTAAACCCTAAATCCTAAATCCTAAATCCTAAACCCTAAACCCTAAACCCTAAACCCTAAACCCTAAACCCTACACCCTGAACCCTGAACCCTCGAACCCTAAACCCTAAACCACTTCTTGGAGGCTCCTGGCCTTGCTATCCGGCCAGCGATCAGAGGCGGCTTTAGGGTTTTAGGGTTTTAGGGTTTTAGGGGTGGTTATTGGGTTGTGGTTTCATAGGGGGTTGGGGCTTTTGGGGGTGGTCGGTTTGGGGCGGTCTGGGGGTGTAGGGCTTTTTGGGGTTTAGAGGTTGAGGGGGTTTGGCAGGTGTGGTGGTTCATTCTTTGAGCGGGGTCACAGGGCTTAGGGTTTATGAGAGGGTGTGAGGAGGGGAGGTTTCGGGGTTTTGGGTTTAGGGGTTGAGGTTCTCTTCAGGAGGTAGTTTCTGGAATGAGATCCCTTGTAGGAAGGTCTCTTCTAGCACTTCGGGGGATTAGGGAACTCTTTGAGAAGGTCCTCTCTTATATTGCTCCTGTTTTTTTTTGCGAGGCTCGGGCCGGCACCCTAACTCCTAAACCCCAAACACTTTAAAGAGCACCTCTAGGGTGTGGTGGGGTGTGGTGTGCAAGCCTCTGGCGCTTCGTCCCTAAGTCAGGTGGTGGCTGCCGCAGCTCAGACGTTTCTTGGCACGTGGGCTTGGGGGAGGTTGAGGGGTTGAGGGATGGAGGGGCACGGGGTAAGGGATGGTAGGCTTGGCGCCGGAGAGGGTGACACAGCTTCGGTTGTTGATGGTACGCATCCTCAGGACAACTCTTGGATGTAAGGGCGATAGCGAGCCCGCTGCAGCAGAGCGGTGAAATCTATGCCCAAAAGTCTATGATATGGCATCAAAGAGCCACGAGCCACGCTGCTTGTCTGCAGCCCGTGCAGCAGAGGCTGCGAAACATTGCGGCAGATCGACCAGGAGCGACAGCCTTGTGCGAGGAAGGAGGTCCCCTTTTGCAGGGACAGTGTCTTAGTCTTGAGATGGGATGAGATGGGATGAAGAGGGATGAGGCGGGGTGAGATGGGCGTGGAGCATCGTGGAGCCCTGTTGATGGTCAATGGAGGTGTGGCGCTCCTTCTGGACGTTGTCAAGCGAGGGGAGAACTCTCCTGAGGCTGTGATGGCATTCGTGGGATTACATGGGGTGCACTGCTCATTTCTCAAGAAGAGGTTCTTTTGGCTTTGACAAATGCGTTTGCTGTCCAGGCCTGGCGGGCTGCTTCCGCGCTCGCAAACATCGCGGAGTTCGCAGAACTTGCTCCAGTGCTTCGTGAGGCTCCAGATCCCGGGGTCTCATGTGGCGGTTGCTGCTGGGGCCGGGAGTGGGATCATGCTGGTAATAGTATGGTTTGTCATGTCTGCATTGCTTTGCGGACCATGTTCTGTTGCGACTTCTGGACTTGGAGGTTGCGAAAGTCTTCCCTTGAATCTCAGACTCTCAGACTTCAAAAAGGGCCTTCAGGAACCTGAAGCTATCACGTCGTGGGGAGGCTGGTGCGGTCCCTGAGCTTCGCAGCCTCTCGGGGCAGCTTCCCAGCAGTTTGCAGTGAGCAGCGAAAAAGTGCGGCGTATGAATGTTTGCTCGATGGGTGTTCTCCATGCTTTATTTGATGATGGCCAATAACTCTGTGAGGAGCCTGCATGGGGCAAGAAGCACCTTCAAAAAGCCCTTACCGCATTGGCCCCCCTTCTCTCTTCTCTCGGCTCTCAGAAGAGACAAGAGGCTCTCTCGCCAAGCCAAGTTATTTCTGTTTCCCCACTGGCGAGTTGGAGCGATGGCGGCAGGAGGCTCCACGCAGTTGAGAGGGGGGGTGTTTGGCCGATGTTTTTTTGCCCATCGCAGTTCTGGCCGATGTTTACGACTATGCAGAAATGTATACGGTATCTGTTTATGTGTTTGCATATGTGTGTGATGTGTATGTGCATGCGTATATATGCATGTGTGCCATGATAGACAATTCTGAAGGCTTGCAAGTGGGACTGGCACTGCAGCCATTCGAGCTCCCCCCAACCCCCACATATGCCCAGTACAACGGCCAATAGCACAAGTGAAGTGACAGCCCCCCCCCCCCCCTTTTCCCCCCCCGCCCTTCCCCCCCCCCCCCCCCCAGATCTCCGCTTGAAATATGAGACTGCAAACGGAGGGAACACTCGAAATGCAGTTCATTTGCATGAGCAAACCGTTTAAACGTTTAGAATTCATTCGCGCTGTATTGAGTACAGTCTACCTTTGATAAGTTGCCATGTCTGCCAAGTTGCCACGCCAGGACCGGAGTTCAAGCTCGTGCTCTGCGGTGACGGAGGCGCTCCGCGCAGGTTCTCTGCCATGTGTGGTGCCTGTGCCCTGTGCCGTTTTGGGAAGGTGTTGGAAAGACGACCCTGGTCAAGCGCCACCTCACAGGCAAGAGGGCCAAGAGAGAGCCAAGAGAAGTCAGCGCTTGGGCCCCACAATGGTCTACTGACACTCAAGCGTGAGCCGAGCTCTGAAGAAGCAGGCGAGTTCGAGAAGAAGTACATTCCCACCCTGGGTGCGAGCCGCAGATCCTTTTTTAAGGCAAGTTGAGGCGCTCCGTAAGTGTGGGTGTTGAGCGGGTAGTGTGTGAGCTCAGCGTCAACGCCGCGGAGCCCTCTCCCGCTTTCCCAAGGTGTTGAGGTCCACCCACTGCGGTTCACCACGAACTGTGCCGCTCTCAGCAAAGGTTTTTTTCAGCAGCAGCTTACATAATTAGCGCAGTTACATCACATGTAAAAGTGTATGAGACACACTAGGTGACTAGGTGATTCAACAGTTCTCGAACAGTGAGAGGCTTTGGTGAGGTTCTCTGAACCTTCTTCAAAAATCTGTGGTTCGGGAGGGCCTTCGTGGTTTCATGCTCAGATGTTGCGCCGCTACGGCCGGCCCCTTTGCAACAAAGCTTTATTGAGAAGCTTAACCTCTGTAAATGCTTTAGACCCTAGACATCCCTAATAGGCCCGCCCACCCCCAAAATCCTGCAAGCCTTACAACCCCTGCAGCTAAGGCTTTAACAAAGGCCAGAAATGAGCCCTCGAAACCCTCGAAAGACTCTTTCGGGGGTCTAATTGTGAGGTGGCCCGCTGACCTTCAACGTGTGGGACACAGCTGGCCAGGAGCCCCTCATAAAGTTGTGAAGGGGGCTTAGGTAGCCTTTGGAAAAGAGCCAATTGGGGGCTTCCCTTTCAAGGGGGGGCCTTTGAGGGACTTCTCGGGTTTTATTGAAGAACTCTGGGAGTTGCCTCCGCCTGCCATTTGAATTTGCAGGAGAAGTTCGGCGGCCTGCGCGATGGCTACTACATTCAGGGCCTGCATCTCTGCTTGGGCGATCACCTTCAAACCTCTCTGGACATGAGAAGCTTAATATGAGGCTGTCATCTCACTCAAAAAGGAAACGTTCAGCACGTCGTGGTGGTCCGATCATGGTTTTTTCTTCATTGTTGCGTAACCTCGCCGTCTCGCCTGCCTTCCTTTTGTTTCGGAAGAACGTTTGCAAGGCCAGTGCGCCATCATCATGTTCGACGTGACGTCCCGCATCACCTACAAGGCATAAGGGGCCGCTGTTCAACTCCCAGGGTGAGGTCTGGCTTTCACATGCATGCACATGCATAGGCTATGCACAAGAGCAGGTCCGCACGCATGAAGCAGTTGGGGCGGTCGACAGGGGCCTGCAGGGGGGTGACTTAATGGATCTTGGCAGCGGATGGGCATGGATGCGTCAGCCCTTCAACAAATGCCATGCTTCCCCCCTTCAAGCATGCGCCTCGTCAATGCTCAAGCTTTTCCTAAGCGCATCACGAAAAGACGTGGAGAAGCAGTTCCACACATGAAAACGCATGGACTTGGCACAATCCGTCAAAAGGCCCGCCAGGCTCTGCACCTAGATCCACCGCAGCAAGACCATGCAAGAACCCCCCAGCACAGCCTTTGAAAGGCACCCCCCCCCCCCCCCACCCTTCCGTCCGTTGCATCCCCATGCTTTCTCAGCTCCCCAGTCTTTGCCTCGGCCACCGTTAGAGGGAGCCATGGCTTTCAAGCACGACGTGGAGCACAATGCTCTGGTGAACAGCGACTCCATGCTCCTCGGCTGAGTTGGCTCCTTCTTCGCGTGCTTCTGCTCCCTCTTGCCTTTGAGCCTGGCAGCCCTAGGGAAGCACGACAGCGACAAAGAAGCGTTACTGCAAGACTACAAGTAGCCAGTTTCATAGTAAGATTCATACATGGTTCTTGTTCATGCGCGCTCGAAAAACGAAGGTCGGATGACACGGAGGCCAGGTGCCAGCTTTCATGGTGCTCGACTTTGTCATACTTACCTTCGGCGTGTGCAGGGTAGAGGGCCCAGGCTCGTGTGAACTCTTAGTGCTCTTTGGGAGTTTTTGTTGGGAATGGAAAACCTGTCCTTGAAAGCAATAGAAGAATTGGAGGAACGGAGAGTAACGAAGCGGAGAAGGAAGGGAGCAAAGAAGAAGGATGGGGCCATCAGTGAGGTTAACGCCAGTAAGGAGAGGCGGAATCCTTTGCTTGTGGCTTTGGTTTCGGGTGCTCTTTGCCACATCCCCGGTCCAGGAGGGGGGGTGTTTGCCAGCAGCCTCTTGCACCTTTGCCCTTTTTTTGGCGCGTTGGGGGATTCGGTGAAACCGCCGATGGACCGATTGGTAAGAGATCATGAGCAATCGCACAGGAGGGGCTCAGTAGAAATAAGCAATGCAGGCATCTTTTTGCAACAAGATGATAAACATGCTGACACGCAGTCGCTGAGAAAGTGGGCATTTTAGCATTGATGCTCTGGGCTGTGCTAGCAGCTTGTCTAGGGTTCTTCGAACAGTTTCCAGAAGTGTGCAGATCAGCTTGTATGGTTTTGAAGGACTTCCTGCAGAAGAAGAGGCGCCGCCAGAAGAGCGGAACCGGTTGCTGCCACTGTCCCACCTGCCTCTGCTGCTGCTGCACCTGCTGCGTGCCTCGGGGGCATGATTTAGAAAAGTCTCGGCATCACCGCGTCCTGAATCTGAGCCTTTAAGAGAAGCCGTGTCAGAGCATGCGGAATGCAGTTTCTGACAGACTTTGCTCTCAAGGTCGTTTTCCTGCTGGTCTTGGCCATTGGCATCGCGCTGGGCGTCTCTGCCCTCCAGCCTCCTGCTCTGCGCTGTTTCCGTATTTTATAGTTTTTGTTTTTAGGGTTTAGGGTTTAGGGTTTAGGGTTTAGGGTTTAGGGTTTAGGGTTAGGGTTTGTATCAGTGACTTCAAGGCGCCTTCTTAGTGACTGTAGGTGCGGTTTTTTCGACGATTTGCCAGGGCCTCTGCCCCGGCCTCGGCAAAGCCCAGGTCATGGCTGGGAACTGGCGCCGGCTCTGTGCTGTCGGCGACAATGGGCGTGTGGCTGGGCATAGACAGATGAGACACCTGAACTCTCATCCCTAAAGCCCCTAAAACCCCTATTGTACCATGAATTAGAAACGCTATGAGTTAGAAAGGAGGCATTTCCTGTCATGAGCTGTGAGAGCGCTGTTCATCTGAGGCCCGTGTCCCTGGGCTCCGTGCACCTGGGGCTCCTCGAAGGCCCCCCCTTTGCGGGAGTAAATCTGGGGAGTGCTGCGGTTGTTTAAGGCTGGCTTCCCCCTCCCGGTTTTTCGACAGAGTGCCCGGTAGGGGCAGCTCTCCAGTCGTGTGCAGCTTGTTCTTCGAACGCCCTAAACCCTAAACCCTAAACCCTAAACCCTGAACCCTGAACCCTGAACCCTGAACCCTGAACCCTGAACCCTAAACCCTAAACCAATCTGTCTGCCCGCCTTGGCACTTGAGTGGGTGCTTTCCTTGAAAGTGGAGCCGCAGGCCGGGCCTCCATCCGCAAGCTGGAAGTGGGCAGCCCCGAAGGCTTACTGAGAGTTTGTTGTGGTGTGTGCAGTGGAACTTTGGGGCACCTTAGGGGCCTTACGGGCTTTTAGGGGCTTTGTTGGGGGCTATTCGGGGGCTTGGGGGGGCTTAGGGGCTTAGGAAGATGGAAAGGGAGGGTCCACTTACGCTGCCGGGAATGGGCAGTGAAACAATATCAACGTTGGGGGGGACCTCCCCAAACCCTAAACACTCAGGCTGTGGACCGGCTTTCCAGTCACCAGAACTAGGGGTCTAGCTCCATGCTTCGAAAGGCATAAGGAGAGCAGTTGACTTCGGAACTTTTGAAAAAGCCAGCTGGACAGCTGGTTTGTGCAGGTTGGGTTTTTGGGTGCGGGAGTGGCGGAGGGAAGTGCGGCGCGGAGTCCGCGCAGTGTCGGACTGGGGCAGAGGGGGGGGGAGGGCAGTACGGGACAGAGCAGCAGCAAGAACGGCAGATGTGGCATTCCAGCTGCAAGTTTATGTGCGGAATACCTTGCGCAGGCTTTCACCACGACTTTCTGTACCTCAAGCATTTGGCAGCTTGGCAGGCACTGCAGACCGGGCAAGTCTATCCGTTTGTTGACTCGCTTTTAAGAGGAGCTGATGCTCAACAAGTTGCACTGGCACTTGCAGCACAATGCTGAGTTTGATTGTTGGTGCAAATGCGCTTGGACTATTCAGAGATTGAGTGCAGCCACATCGCCTCTTCTCTTTTGGGGTGTTGCTTAATTTGCAGAAGGGACTCTGAGACCGCAACGATGTCAGAGCCTGCAGAGAGAGCTGCGAAAAGTTCGTGCGCGGCTGCAAGCTGTGTCTTATAGAACTTGCAGGGGTTTTGGTGCTGGTTCTGTACTTTCCCTTGCTCTGAGCTTGCTGAGCGTGCTCTCTTAGGTCTTTGACATCAGCCCCATGTCGCTGCTGAAGCAGCGGCTGGTGGGCTCGGCGGTGGTGCCGGTAGAGCTGGAGGAGGCGGCGGGAGTCTGCAGGAGTCTGCCCCAGAACGAATCAAGAGGTTCGTGGATGAGGCCTGCGGGTTCCCCCTGGAGGCCCTGGCCTCCCTCCCCGAAATTTTAGGTGGAGATGCTCGATTCGGAAGATTTCTGCTCAATCCTCGGTGCCGACTCCGTCAGCTCTCGGTTGCGCATTTCGGGCTTCGCGATCCCGATGACTGGCAGTCGTCGAGTCGATGGAAAAAGCAGGGCGTTCGAAGACTCTGGTTCCCTGTAAGCGTCTCCATTACGAAGAGTTGGTTTTCTTTTTTTCTTTTTTGCGTGTTTCGTCGGGTAGCAAAAACAACGTGCGGCAGTGTCTCGCGAGCCGGTGTCCAGCGAGAGGTGTCGGTGAACACCTTGCGTGTCTTCATAGAGCAGCGACTGGGCTTTGGACAACTCCAAACATTCTGAATCAGTCTTTCTGCCAATGCCTGTCTTTCACGTTTTCGAGCATCTTTTGGGCATGCTGAGGAATTCAGATTCTTCTCCTTCCAATGCGAAGATCATTGTCGACCATTTGTGCCCTCGACTGGATGCGAGGGCTTGGCAGGGGGCACCATGGGGCACAATGGTGCGCATTCTCTCTGGGTTCTTCTGGGTTCTTCATAGGTTCGCATTCTTTGGTTCAAACTGGCTTAGATAAGGGGGTCGAGTCAGCCCTTGCCTATGTTGCTGCACAAGGATCCTGCGAAACCCTCTGCAAAATGGCATGAGAGCAAAGCTCTCCGTTTCAATGCAGCGGCTTAGATTCTGCTAGAGTTTGCTCAGGAACTCGCTGGCACCCAAGGCTGCCGTGCAGGTCAATGCCGAGGACGGGCATTGCTAAGAGGCTTGAAAGGCAAAGGCTGCCCCCTTGCCAGAAGCGGTTTTCAGGCATCTTGAGGACATGGCGCTGGGTGTTTTTTTGACATTGCTAGGACAGCACCGCTGAAGCGCTGCACACGCTGCTTGGCTGCCAGTGTGGCTACCAGTGTGGCTACCAGTGTGGTGCAGGTCTGCCCCTGTGCCCAAACGCGTCCGATGCTGCCGGTTTCTATATGCGTTTCGAGAAAAGTCCAGGGCTGCCCTGATTCAGAGCGTCTCTGCGCGAATTCGAATACCATGTTGAGATAGAAAGCGTCGTAAGAAGAGCAAGAACAATGAAGAGGTGCTCAGGTTGTAGCAGCTGAAGCTGAGCACCAGAAGCCGAGGCTGACCAGCAGGATCAAGGCAGCCGCTTGGAGAGCAGCCATGAAGGTTCATGAACGCTTCTGGGTCGGGGAGGACAAAGGAGCTAAGGGGCATCGGGGGGGGCGGGGGGTTGGGGTATTGGGGGTTGGGGGGTTGGGGGTATTGGGGGTCTATTGCATGATTCGCACCGAAGTTCTCTCTCCTTAGGACAAGATCGACTTCAAGGATATCGGCATCGGCTACTGCAAGCAGCCCCTCGTCCCTTCTACACGCACCTATGTTTCTGTGTGCAAGTGCAGCATGCTCTAGCAGGGTGCTTCTGAATGCACAGAGAGCGAGGCCAGATTGCGGCAAGTATGGCCCCGCCACGTACGTGGTGAAGGCACGGGGCTGACATCACTTTGCGGAGAGGGGGGGGATGGCTTGTGATGGCCTTGCCAAGCCCACTAAGCCCACTAGACTTTTCACTAAGTCACTATGCCGTCTATACATCCTGAATGCGTGGATGATGCAT